AACGATGCAAAACATAATAACAAAATCTCCTCAAATTCTTATTGATTGGATGCTAAACAAGAGCCCCCTTGAATTTACAAATTCCAATGCTATCTGGGTTCAAATTTTCATTCTTGAGCTAGGGTTTTGGGCGCTTAAAAAGTTATGTTTCTTGATCACTTCCTCCTAAATGCTTCACATTTTGCCTAGAATTTGAGCTCTGGTATGAACTTACTCGTCATCTGATCTGTTCTTTTTGTTGTTTGTATGTTTTTGCTTGGTGGGTTTCTCCTTTTTGTGGGAATTTATCATTGAATTGATGAATTGAGCTTAGTTAAGTGAGCGTTGATTGATTAGAGAGGAACCCACATAAGGGTTTAAGCTTAATCAGCTAAAAAAGGAAACTTTAAGTGTTCACATTTTAACCCAATTATGTGTAATCAAATTGCTTCAAATTGATGTGAATTGCATGAAGAAGAAATGTTGTGTGGTATGCTGACAGTATATTTGTATCATTTTCTATAGGTTTGTTGCTCTGTTTTGTGATTATATTTAGGACTTTGTGTTTTTCAATTTTTTGATTATTGTGATAGGTTTGTAATGGCAAGCACCTCTGGCCAAGAATTTAGTTCAAACAGAAGTTATAGGCGATGGTTAGCAGAAACTTTTGATGGCCACGAAACTGGAGATGATGAGCTTTCGGGAAATTTGGATGGGAATGATTGTTTTATTCAGTCATCTGATCCCAGTTTTCCGTTGATGTCAGAACCTACAGAACCATTTATTGGAATGGAGTTTGAATCGGCAGAGGAGGCTAGGGAGTTCTACGAGATGTATGGACGGCGTATGGGGTTTACAATCCGGAATAACCGTACACGTCGGTCTCTTAAAGATAACTCAATAATTGGTCGAGAGTATGTTTGCTCTAAAGAGGGTTTTCGTGTGGAAAAATATTCAAATAGAGAGAGTAGAGTTTTCCCATCACGGCCTGCCACTAGAGAGGGATGCAATGCCATGCTGAGGATAGCTGTAAAGGATGGTGGAAAGTGGGTTATCTATGGTTTTGTGAAAGAACATAATCATGAGCTGAATCCAGGCAAAATACCACCTAGACGATCACACAGAATTGCATTCTCTGAGGTATGGTAGAGGATTCTGGTTTTTACCATATGATGCTTTGCATGTGTATTGTTTCTTTAGACTTGCATAATCGAAGAAAAGCTAAGGGTATGCTTATTCTAGTGGCGAGACCTGTAGAAACTATACTAGGATATAATGGAGCTGAAGAACAAAATTTGAATTGGGATTAAGTTTCTGACCTTCATCTGTAGTAAATATCTATCATTGCCATTTTAAAAATATAAGTGGGAAGGTTTTCTTTCAAAAATGGCAAAATAAGCAAAAGGTAAGCCTGAAAGTGGCTACTTCTTACGTGATCAGTGTGGAGTTGAGGTTGATAAGACTAATTTGCTACTCCTGGGGACCCTGCTTTCTTAACTCCTTCAGAAGGCAATGATTGCTTCTTCAACAGCATGTACACTGGTTCAAATGCATCCGACTCTGTCTCTACCTCCACTGCTGGATGTAAGAAGAGATTAGAGAGTAAAGGAAGAAAGGGTCACTGGCTGCCACTATCAAGAAGTACTGACATTCTCAGCTTTGGGTTTGAAATTAGATTAACTCATAGTTTTTTAGAAATTCTTGAAGTCAATCCAATCTAATATAGTTTATTTGTATGTTGGTAGGCTGACCTATTTAACCATTGACTGGCACTGGGTAAAATATCAGTAATGATGCCTGTATTTAGGGTTGTGCTAGTGAATGTGTTGAAGCGACCTTTAAGGAGAGGGTTTCAGTAATTGCTAGTAAAAAATTGCTAGGACATGATTTATCACAAGGTAAATTAGGAATTTTTGTGACCAAGAGTTTATGTGAGCCTATCTTGAGTTTACTTCGAAATATTTGAGGTTTGAAACAAAGATACTCTGCTTTATGAATTGTTGTTTGTATGTGGCTCAAAAATTAGTCTACATCCTTGCAAAGTCCATGATCGCAATGCCAACTTCACGAAGGCATTGTGTAGCTTGCTAGGAATATTGAGTGCATAGTAGGTTCATCCTGAAAAAGACCTTCTTATGTTTGTGTTCGCTTTATATTATTCTTTTTCATAGTACAAAGTATGATTAGAAATACATCTGAATCCAGTGATAATTAAATTGAAAAGTTATAGCTGGAACCAAAAAAACTCTTCTTTAGCAGTGTTGGGCTTGCACTCACTAGATACTATATATATGTTGCATAAAGTTACTGTGCACATCTGTGACTCATAGTTAATTTTTCATGTACATTTTCAATGATAGAAATTCCCTGACCTACCATTTTTCATTCCTAAAAAACATTTTTGGATGACCAGAATCATTCTCTGCGCATGCCTTTTCGCCCAGACTCATTGTTTTTTATTGAAAACTTGAGTTTTGTGCCCGAACTTCTTCCATGTACCCTCATTTTACTATATGCAGTAAGGCTTATATTTTTGTAGTTTGACGATTCTTATAACAGTTTACAATCACTTATGTTCTCAATTTTGTATGCAGGACGAGAAGGATCTTAAAATCCGAGAACTATCAACAGAGCTGCATCGTGAGAAAAAGAAATCCGCAGCTTATCAAGAACAATTATGTCTGGTTTTAAGATACATTGAGGAACACACTCAGCGGCTAGCTTTGAAGGTTAATGTAGTGACTAACAATATGAGAGAACTTGAATCTGAAGAGCAGGAAAGTTCATACTCTGACTAGAGTTAGCATCATTTGTCATCGAGTCATACTATGATATTGGTACAGTTTCACACCAATGAGTTTACACCATTGGTTTTCTCAATAACAACTTATCGTCATCCAATGTTTCAAATATACGCAATAATCGTACTATCCAGTATCATAGAATTATCCTTACCAGTATAAAATGTCAGTTGCTTTGTATATTGAACAAAACTCATCTTGCAACAGTGTTTTTAGTGCACAAATGCTTGTGATATTAGCATTTTGGATAAGAAAAAAGTCTTTTGTATTCAACAAGTAATGGTTTTTAGGAAATGCTGAAAACATGTTAAAGTTGTTTTGAAGCTAACACTTCTAGAAAAATAATAAAAAATGTATAATTCCTATTTAGTTTTTCAAATAAAGCATCAAAATCAGTATGTTATGTGTTTTAGATTTAGATAATGTCTAAAACGTTTTCTGGATAGCATTA